TTTAATTATTTTTGAAGAAAATTTATATTCAAAAATCTCTGAACATTTTATCCCATAAACAGAGCAACAACATACAACTATTTTTCTTCAGACACACACACACACACACACACACACATATAATATATATATATATATATAAATATGGATATATATATATATATAAAACATTCTGAACATATTCTTTAACTGTTTATCTTAAAAAGTAATTTTGTCAGAAACTGACCATTTCTTGCAAATAGAGATCCTGATGAAGAATAACTTTCACTTACAAAAAATATCGGACATCATGTCGTGTGATTAAAAACAATGTGTGAAAAAAAGCTTGTTGAGTGGGCGGGATTTCTGCCAGCATTGTCTGTCGTGTTATGAATAAATGTTTGACAAGAAATTTAGACCGTCACGGATGCCAACTTATAGGCAAATGAAATCTCTGAAATAAAAAACACGCAGCTGATTGGTCGGTATTTGAAATGGAAATATAATCGCCTTGTATACTATAATATCCCTTTTTCACTTGCCCTCGTTTCTTTTTTTTTCTGTAAACATTACCAGTTTTATGCAAGAGTGTCGTCCGGACAGACATGTATCAAACAATTTTTGTTAAGTATCAACACCAAAAAAAAAATGCAATGGTTGGAAATAAAGTAATTATTTTAAAAGTAAAATGACCCTGTTTTATGTTGTATATAAAAAACCCCAAAAAACAAAAAAAAAAAACCCCAGGTTGGCTTTTCTATTTAATTTTTTTATTTATATCATACATTCTACATTCTATATTTCCTTTTAAAAAATACATTCTAAATTCAATTTTAAGCAAATAATTCTACATTCCTTTTAAGAAAATAAACATTCCTTAAAATGTTTAAAGCCATTTATTAGTTTGATTGAACTCTGTTTAGTGAAGTTTGAAATTGTTAATTTTAGATAAAAATTTTTCATTTTTTTTTCATTTGTTATAAAATAACATTGCAAATCAAAAATAAAGTTTTAAATTTTTTTCCAGAAAATGAGTGGAATCTGTTACAAGGTTTTTTGATTCAATACAAGAATATGTATTAAAAATATAAAAAATTTTCTTAAACCACCTGCTGATTTCATGAAAATAGACAATTTTAATGATGTTAAAAAATCAAGCCATTTTAAAACAGTATTACTGACATTCCTATAATAAGAATGACTATGCTTAAGACTGATTTATCTTGGTGATACATTTGTGGTTTGCTTTGTAATGGTATGCATGATCACTGAAATAGAAGATATGCAAATTTGATTCAAGTTAGTTTTTTGTTTTTTATGGGGTTTCATTAAAATCAGTGAGATATACCTAAAGGAAAATTTTCTACCTAAGATACATGTTATGCATTAACTGTTTAGTGAAAATTAATACTTATATTTTTTGTATCTGTCTTTATTATTGTTTTATCTACATAACATTTTGATCTCCACATTTTCTTGTCATTATTTGATGAGCTCACATCTTTATCATAGATGATCAATAATCTGAATAATAATAATAAAACTTCATCATTTAGTAGTTTGTATAAAATACCTGAAATGTTCTCTGCTAAATAAAATACATGTATCAGAATGTTAAAACAAAAGTATTAAAAATATAAAATTAAAAAATGATGTAATTTAGGTGAGGAATTATCATTATTGTACAGTAATGTCTTCATTTTAGTTGTCATAATCACAATATTTCATCCATTGTATCCTTAGTTGGTAAGCTTCTGGAATTTTTGAACTGAAGCTTTTTATTCAATCTTTGGGTTTAAACTATTCTCCTTCCACTCTCCATCTGGTAAAATATTTCATATTAGTTAATTCTATTAATGTGTCCTTGTGATGATATTTGTCTTTTCCACTGAACCTGAATATATGACTTTTATGCTTCTTGTCCCAGGGATTGAACTTGTAACTGCTATATAACTTTATTTGTTTAGTCAATGCTTTTTTAACCAACAGGATAATCTTGCCATGGAAACTTAAACCTAATGTTAATGAAAATTATATATATATATATATAATTTTTTCATAATATATATATATATATAATTTTTTTCAAAAATATATATATATATATATATATATATAATTTTTCATAAATTAACTAATTCAGAAATTAAATATGCCAATTCTTATGTATTTTGGCATCCTGGATTTGAAAATGACCTTTGAATTAGATGATTGGCTCTAGATTTAAAGATATTTAGACAGTCACGTTATACATTTGAGTACAGTGGATGTCTCCAAGAAAAATAATGTTGTTTTACAAAATCTGCTTTGATATCCAGTTGTTCTGTGTAGGCTACCGGAGCAATACACAAACACATCAAAATGGCTGTATATGTATTTATTGAATAAAATACAATCTGAAACTTTCTTCAGAAGTAATATATATCTGCAGTTATTCAGCAACCACATATTTCTTCTTAGTTTGCCGTTTGTGAACTGCAGGAAGATCATATCTGGTCACAGTCCAACAATAATCAGCCAACATTGATGGACTCTAGCAGCACTGATACTTTTTTCCCATTGTTGCAATGTCTTGATGAAATCATTTACTGTGCTTGTCCCTCAGTGTCACAATTTGGAGTAAAAATCAAGATGCAAATCTAAGAAGTGAATCTTCAATGACATGTTACAACCAAGATGTTTCAGGAGGTCTTCCATCAGTTCTGTCATTTTCTGATCTTTCATTACCCAGAAAGTTGGTTGACACTGACTTTAAAGCTTTCCATGTTGTTTTTTTTTCATTTCCCTGTGATACCCTGTCAAAATTGTAATGTAAAAGAAATTTAGGAATCCGAGAGACAAAGATGTCTTCCTTTATCGTTTTTTCACTTATCCTGAGTAATTTATTACTTGAATGCTGCCTTTGTTTTGTCCATAGTCTTCACAAAATTTTTCATAAGACCAAGCTTTTTTTCTTTGACTCAACTAGTGGTGAATGCTGAACATCATAATGGCTAGTTTCTCTTGATGTAATCAAAACTTCTGTTTCAGCTACCCCATTCACAAAGGAAACAATGATACTTGGTATAGCCAACTTGCAAAAGAGCAACAACCTTCAAATCTCTGCAAAGTTGACAGTTATGTTGATCATAGTTGATACATCTCAATAGTTGTTTCTTATTGCCATAAGTTTCTTTCATCTGGATTGTATGACTAACCAGGATTGCCATTGTGTATCAAGACAGCTTTGAGACTTTTCTTTGAAGAAAACAATGAACAGCCTCCATTTCTCTGGATTATAACTGATAAGTGATTGCATAGGACCACTGATATCATTGCAGTAGACTAAATCACTTTCCATAAGGTAGAATGGGACTAGAAATTCATACATCATCAGCTAATAGATTCCACTGCTGTAACTTGGAATTTAACAGTTCTGCTTTACCTTAGTTATGAGCTGTGGTACTTGGTCATATGAAGTTGATGATTCAGGCTCTGAGGTTGGCTCTCTCCAAATCATGGACACTGCAAAAGGTTTAGATTTTTTCTTCCTGGTTATCCATTGACTGAAATTTGTTGCACAAGTCTTACAGCATATGTGTGGTGCCCACTTCTGGCCTTGGTCTCCAATTTTCCATCCAAAAGATACTTGGTAAGCTTTACTCAACAGGTGTTTGCTTTTGAGACACAAAAATGTCATTTTGCCACACATATCGCATAACATATCTGCTTTGTTCAGACATTCACAGGACATTTTTCACAGGTCAGTTAAATGTGTGAAAACCTAAATGGAAAGGAGAATAATAATTAGTTTATTATTTATAATTATATATAATAAAGTTATGAGAATAATGATTAATCTAGTAAGAACAATATTTTTTATGAGATATTCATATAACACTAGTATTGTATCTTGAAATCTAAAGCCAATCAACAATTTTAGATATCATTTTTATTTCCAGTACTCCAAAATTCACAAAGATTTTTATTTTTGTAGCTTTCATGTAGACAAGTGAGAGCCTACCATGCATACCGATTCTTTAAATTTCCTTCAATTCCCTATATCTATTATTTTGACTTCATTTGATAAAGGTCAGTAACTTGCCTTTTCCCTTCACAGATGGTTGGCTATACCTAATTTTGTTAACTGTCTCTGGATTTCAGCTTTGCAATGTGTTCCCCCCCCACTTTGCTTTTAAAGAGTGGCTTGCTTCACCTTTGTATTACCAACATGAAATGGAATGTACATAATTATTGATCAAGGTCTTTTCTGAAATGCTTGGTTTGGAGAGATGTCTCCAAAAGGTTGAACTGCTATTGGATACTGTCCAGATGTTGACCACAGATCTTCAGATTAGTAGTTTTTTTTTCTCCTGTGATTGACTCTTCTATCTCTTCTTGTGGAAGCTAATATACTTGTAGTATAGTTATTCCTCTGAGGAGTGTTTTTAATGAATGTCATCAATTGGTTTGTGCTTGAGTCACCACATGAGTGGTACGCAATACTGTAAACAGCAGATGATCCCTTTCTTCACACTGTATGGAGAATGAGAATCAAAGTTAAGATATTATCTGATGAATATTGACTTAGTATACAGGTTCAAGACATCTGTATATTCTATGTGGATTATTATTAATACATTAGTTTATCTTATGCTTCCTTTTCCAGTGTAAACTGTATTGATAGTCTTATTGAATTCATATAATCCAGCAGTACTTGCACGTTTTCCTCTTCAGGTTAAAGTATATAGGTGTTATCAATGTCTCATAATCACATAGTTGGCTTTAATAGTGACTTTCTTAAAGGTACAATGTAGGATATAATGGTTGAAATGTTATGATTATTATAACCAATATCAGGACACGAGTCAGAGTATATCATTGTATAATAAATGAAGGGTAGTTTGCTTAATTGTTTAGCAGTTGTTTTGTTATATATTTGTTTTATGACAAATTTAAACTAGTGACCCTCAAATTTGTTAGTATTTGTCATTTTAAACAGTATAAAATCAAATTGTTTTCACTTATAAATATTTTTTCAGTGGCCCCCAACCCTTACTCAGATGATGATCACCCTGATGGTAAGCAGAATTAGTATGCTGAAAGCATAATTTCCAATAATTTTTCAGGATAATGTAACTAACCTTCTTTTTCCTACATTTTAATAAACACTTTATTCAGACTTAAACAATATCTTATCTAATGCTCCTCAAAGAAAATCTCTTGCACTTGGGTTATAATTTTTTCTGCTTTCCTTCTAAATGTTTTCTTTTTCTGTCTTGTTTTCATATTGGTTGACTAAATATGAAAATTGACTTGGGGGGGGATGGAAGGTAAAAAAAAGTAAAAATATATATCCATTAACCAACACTTAATATTAATTTTGAACATGGACACAACATGGACTGTGTTTTGAAAAATGAAAACATTTTACAAAACATACATACAACAAACTATTTCTTATTTAACAGTTAAAATATTTAATCCTTGAAAATGGCTAAATGTATAGCTGAAAGCACTTGGATAAAAAGAACATTCAGACAGTTTTTATATAATTTAGCATTCAAAAAGAAAAAACTTATTAGATCACATGAGAAATTGTATAAAAAACTAAATAAAAGCACCTTGTCTGTCATACTCAATGAAATATGCATGAAAGAAGGATTACTGCCTAAATACACAAATATATATATATATATATATATATATATATATATATATTTCAATTAATAGTATATTTTCATATTGCATTTATTGCCCGATTCTAAAAATGTAATTTTGCAAATAAGTTTCTTCTACACAAAGATGAATTGCTCATTTCATATACAATGGCTGATTATGAATAGAAAATACTACCATATTTTCTAAAATTTTGTTTTGTTTGATTCTGTGAGCTTTTTTCTAACAAGTTTTCATGATAATACTCCTTCATCAAACATTTTTATTGAGTCAAAAACTTTGGAAAACCAATACCTTGCTGATTGTTGACTCTTATTGAATAAAAAGTTGAAAATGCCTAAAATGATAAACACTTTGAGATAGGTCAGGTGAATGTCAAAGTTTGTATTTCATAAGAGTCCTGAATCATTGATATGAACATGCAACAGAATTGATTTATACTAGTTTTATGAATCACTAACAAAATACTAGTACATAGATTAACATTCAGAACATCCTATATTATCTCATAAAACTGTTAAGTAGTAGTTTATTTTTAATTAATCTTGATCCAATTTTTTTTTCTTTTTTTTTTTTCCTTTTTTTGTAAGAATTTGCATTTTAAATACTTGAAAATAAAATCTACCTTAGCTAGACTCTGGGCTTTTTGTCCTTATTTATCCTGAACTATTTTTTAAAATTTCCCAATTAAGCTTCTTTCTTAAATTGCTTTTGCTTCTTTGCAAATATAATTGCTTTTATTTTAATTTACCTTCTGTTGCAGTTGCTTCCAAGCAGAATTCTGCTATTTATATTTAGGGGATATGTTGAGTGATGAGTAGTAAGGTGCTTCTCTTTTGTAAATTAATAAATATCTAATATTTATTGGGTTGGCTAGAAGGTTTGTTCAATTTCATTAAAAAAAAGTTCACTTAATTGTATTATCAGTTTTCATGTTAACATGAATTTTACAATTGAAGATGAAAGAAAATAACATTTTTGGCATACTGTACTTTATATTTTTTTAAATGCCATATCATTTCGGTATATAGGTAATCATGGCTTTCCACAGATTCTTTTTCTTTGAATTTCCATGACTTGGGAAATATACTGGAGTTGTTTCTTTATTGTTTCTCCATGATTTCTAATTCAGAGTAGTCCTTCTACACTGGCTGCCGCACAAGTCTAGAGATTACAGTCTACTCTGCTATTTAACCCATAGCTGGGGCAGTAGAAGAAATGGTATTGGGAATTATAACACATTTTGCCAATTTTTATTTTCTGTGTTATCTACACATTCAATTTTATTTTAAGAAATGTAAAAATGCAGCTGAAAAACACAAAGGGTTTATGTACTTTTTGGAGTAAGGTACTGTGAATGAATATGTCAAAAATGGTTTGGAAATTTTTATGATTTAACATAGTCAGGTAGACTAGTTGAGATTGATAGTGATCAAAGAAAAACATTTCTGAGAATAACTCTTATGCAGTGTAAGAGATAGCCAACATGCTGAGAATTTCAAAATCAAGCAATAATAATGATATTGATAATTGATAATATTGAGTATTATTGGTTATGTTAGTTGCTTTGATGTGTAGAAGCCACACATCAAAGCAAATAATGAAAAGAAAAACTACAGGACAAGTAAAAATAAAAAAAACAACAAAAAACATTACTGGATCATATTTCCATGTGAAATTCACTTAAATGTAATTTTGTGACAGATGATATAAACTTGACATTTTACAATAACATGAATACAATATTGTGGAGCAATGTACTAAAACTGGTCTTCATCCAAATAAATTTGTGCTGTGTATATTGCGGAATTGGAAAAGCGTATTTTTTCCAGAGAATCAAATGATTACACCAGTTGAAATTGGCAATTGATGGAAAGCATATGAAACTAATTAAGAAAAATGGCTTTATTGTTGTAACAGTGAATATCTCTTTGGTAAGTAGACAAAAATGTTACAGCTTGACTGGGAAGTTTTTACTCACTTATTATTATCAGCAAATATTTGCACCTTTTGAATTTCTTATTGGGGAAAAAAATTGGAAAACTGTAAATGGCATCTATCTTATTTATATTTTTTTTCTGATAAAAATAACAATGTTATGGGAGGATGGAATTATGAACCTGCCTGAAAGGTGGTAGAAGATAGTGGAACAAAATGGTAAATGTATTATTAAATAACATTAATGCCAAAAATAAAAAGAAATTATTTCTACTTTATAAACTTAACAACTTTTACATTAATTAATATTGGTTCCATAGACATAAATGATTTTTTATCTATATTTTTCAGTTTGAATTCCCATATAGGTTTATTTAGATAGTATTAAAAAGTGACAAAATTAAAAATGTTTATTGCTTTTAAAAATGCGAAATCAGCTTAAACATCAGCCTAGGCTTTCATTGGTTTAGAAAATTATATATTTTGACACAAATATAATACAATGGAACGTGTGGCACAGATTTGAATCTGTATAGTATCACTGAAAAATACTTTTCAGAAGCTGTGTAAGCCACTAAGATAGGTGTCTTAAACTCAAGGAGAAAAAAGGACCATAATGTGTTGAAGGATGGTCAGAAGTAGGGGACTGCATAGGAACTGGCTCCCAACTAGACCCTTGACGCTGAATTATATCAGTTGGTAATTTTGAGTGATAAGAATTGGGAGAGAGTTGGGGTCCAGGCAGGAAGGATTTTGCATGTATTCCAGTTGTTTGTGTTTATTAAGTACAACTTTAAAAATTGCAAAATTTACACATAATTTTTTTAAATGTAGTACAAATGGCAACCCTATTTATCTTTGTCACAAAATTCACTTTTCTTAAAAAGTTCACTTCTCCATTGCAATTTTACTTCTTTGACATTCTCAATCTTTTTTCATTTTATATTTGTTTTTGTTTCAATTATGTAACTAACCAAAAATATGTCTTTCTTCCTTGAAATTTCAGTTTATTTAACAATTTTCTCTCAAACCACTTCTTGCAGACCTTCACTTCAATATAAGATCAGATGTATTCTATCTCCCATTATGAAAAAAAACAACTCATTTTCTGTTGTATGCCTTCATGAGCCAACATAATTAGCCAAATTTATCCCTTTTTCACATTATATAAAAAAACAATGTATATAAAATTTGATACTTATTTCCACTTCATATGAGTTTTTCTCATCATAAAGAATTCATGGTGGTGGGGAAGTCAAGCTTTCCCTTCTCTGAAAAAGGAACTAGAACAGACTGCACTGACCTTTAAACTGATTGTATATTTACAATTAGTGGGTAGGTCAAGTTCAATACTTGCAAAATTGTGGAAAAAGTGAAGGACAAATTAAACTAAGGAAAATATTGGCCATGAAAATGGTTCCTTGCAGGCTGCAGAAAGTCTATGGGCTCTATGTGGCTTGTGTGTTTGAAATGCCTGTTAAAAAAAATAACATTAGAAAAGTATACTGACCTGCTATGTAATACCTTATATGGCAGTAAAAGTTGTTTAGTTCAGAAATTAAGAAAAATTTGAAGCAACAAAGACATAGTTCTGAATGAATATCAAGAATACCATGGATAGAGCATGTGACAAATAAAGATGTTCTAAGTAGAACAGAAGCTCCAAAGAAACTAATAATAACAATTGAAAACAACTGAAATTTTGAGAACATGTAATGAGGAAAGAAGACTTTAACATTCATACAGCATTTTAAGGGGGTTGCATCATACGAGATGTAAAATTAGCATATGTACTGATGGCTCTGGCTATACTGTTGACCAAACTATATATCCATTTAGTGTAGTCAAATTAGCTTCAAAATTAGGGTTTCAAAAGTTGCATGATATGTGAGTATATATAGTAAATCATATAATGAAATTAGTCTTGAAAGGCCAGTATTCTAAATCTTTTTGCACCCAACACCACACCCCACCACCACACCCCACCCAGACTCTATCTTTGGACCAACTTTATTTCTATCTTCATCAACGATCTTCCTAATGTCATTAGTTCCAAACTTGGTATCTGTTATTGCCACTACTCTTTACTCCTGTCTTAATAGTAAACCTAATAAGCTCAATCTGAGATCTGTAGGCATATTGGGATGGCCAAGGACACATTCCAAAAGTTGGGCAGAGTACTGCAAGACAGGAGGATATCTTTGGTAACAAAGAAAAAAATACTATGTGACATCTGTCCTTTACAGCAGCGAATGTTGGAGGATTTCCTCAAAGATGAAGAAGAAACTCAAGGTGACAGAGATGTAGTTCTATAGAAGGATGCTAAGGATATCATGGACCAAGAGTGTGAGCAATGGTGAGAGGCTTATACTTAACATCAGGAAAAGGCAGCTGAAGTTTCTGAGGAAGGAGGGCCTGGAGAATCTGATACTAACAGATCAAATAGAGAGACAAGGGAAAACAACACATGACATACCTGGCAGACTTAAGCAAGTGGATGACAGAATGTGGTCTGAGGGAGGAAGCAGAAGGAATGAACTTGTTGAGAGCTGCAAGGGATTGAGGGTGGTGGAGAGCCATGATCACCTACATCCTGAAAGGACATGGCACATAAAAAGAAAGATAATCAAATTGGCGACTGATCTCAAAACTGACCTTCAATCTGTTGTTAACCAGAGTAACAAATGACTTGTGAACTTTAACACCTCCAAAATTAAACTGCTGTCTTTTAGTGATCTTATAGAACTATTTTTGCCCTCCCTCAGCGGGGCTGATGCCAACCTCCAGGAGAGCAATTCATTTTACCATTTTGGTCTCCATGTTTTTCACTGGCATAAAGTGGAACAATTTTATTGAATCAATTGCTAGGTTTGATGCTAGCAAATTTGATTCACTGTGTCATGCCAGAATTTCTCTCTAGAATTCATTTTGCATATTTATAAGTTGATCATTCATTCTTGCATTGAATATTTCTGCCATATCTGGTCTGGTTCTTCTGCTATATATCTATATATTCTTGACAAACTCCAAAGAAGAATCTGAAATGTTATCAGTTCTGACCTAGCATCTTGGCTTCAGTCACTTTCCCATCATTATAATATAGTTTCCCACTGCTTTTCTATAAATATTTTCATAGCAATTGTTATGATGAACTTTCTTATTTGGTACCTCAACTTCATTAATTTAAGCATAGCACTAGATTGGCAGTTAGGTTTCAACATTTTACTGTTAAAATAGCAGATGTAACTGTAAAATCTATTCTAATAGTTTCTTTTTTCACATTTATTGACCATGGAACTCTCTTGTAGTTTTGCTTTCCTATCAACTACGATCTTCAAAGATTTAAATGTAACATCAGTCACTACCTTCTGTCTTTCTGAATACTGTTTTTTATTGTCCTTTCTTCTCATTAACATTTTCTCATTTTCATTCACTCTTAGTAAGCTCTTGCATTTTAGTAGCTTTATCACCTTGCTTGGAGTGAAATGATTAAATTGTTTATCATTAGAATATGTGGGTGATGTCAGGATGTGATAGCAGCTCAGAACAAGAAATTGGAGATCCAAGTTCAAATTCTCAAGTTTGTTACATTCACTTATATGCAAATACTCTTGAAAAAGATATAAATCAACTCCTTCTCCTCCTTATAGGTTAAATAGGAGGATTTGTATTAAAGTATGAAAAATTTTGCTCAGATTATTTGTTTGCTAACCCCATCTTTTTGCCAGTTCAGTTCAGTCAAGAAACTAACAGAAAAGTGTCATTTTATTTCACTATTTTTTGTTTTTACCTGTTGATTTATCTGCTTCTCACATTGAATCTTTTCCCTTCTGATTTCTAATCATTTGCAAGTGTCTTTGGGAAGCTTAATTATATTACTGAATTTCTTTTTTTTTTTTTTTTTTTTTTTTATGTACCTGTAGAATCTCCACGTGCTTCTCCTCGGTCACATAATCGGCATCGTCATTCTCAAAAGGGTGACCGTGAGGGCACACCCAAGCATGACATAGTTGTTGTCACAGAATGTGGGCCTATGCAGAAGGACCCCGATCCTGAGCTCACCAAACTGAATGCCATTCCTGTTTTCCATCCTGTTATTAAGCGTTCTGTAAACGGTAATCGAGGAGAAATGGAATTTATAGAAAAACTTGACCACCGACAAGTTTTGTTGCTGTGTATACGTTACCAGGAACATCTAAAACAGTTGTCAGAGGCAGTGGCTTTTGATCAAAATGCTCTTTGCATACGTGTAAAAGAAGTAAGTAGTTAACTTTTATTTACCTTATTTTTATCTTTTTTTAATTCTAACAAGTTTTTTAAAGATACCATCTTATTTGTAAGATATTAGATAGTATTTATCATGTAAATAAGTACAATGAGATACTGAAAACCTGTTGGCTAAACCATGAAGGGTTTATATTAAAAAATGCTGATATTTGGTCAAATTTTGGGATCTGGATTAGGCCATGAACTTTTCAGCATGCTTCACACTTAGAATATGTTTTACTTATTGTTATAATCAACAAATAAAAAGTACAAATGCCAAACTATTGTTAGCATAAATTTAAAAGATTGCAATAATTATAAAAAAAATACCTCCTGTACTCACAACCTTTTATCTTCATTAAAATTGTTTTTTTTTTTCCATTTGGTTCTTTTCCAAATTCTATGATATTATTGTTATTAATAAACCTTGTTTATGCAAAACATTTTAGGGCTAAAGCAGATCATTTTGCAGTGTCATACAGAAATAAATATGAACTGGAAATTTAATTCCAAAAAGACTTATTGATATACTATAGTCACATGGAAAAGTATTGAAAACATGAAAAATTTAAAGGTTTTTATTTTTAATAAACGTGGCTACAAATCTAAAAATTCAGTTGAGAATAAGATATTCTATATCTTAGTAGAAATAAGGAATTTTTTGTCTATGCACAATGTAACACTATTTAGCTATGGTAATTGGCTAGCTAATTAACCATAGAAATTAAAAACTGGAAATATTTATGGCGAGAAAGAGCTATATCGAAAGACAGACTGAGCGACATTAAAAAGAAGAATTTATTTTATTTACAAAAAAAAGACTTTTTTACAAAAAGACAGAAAATCCGTAAAAAAAAGCGAGACTGTGATTCTGTCAAATTAATTAATGTCACGATAAAGGGAGTGACGCGCCAAATGAAACAGAATTCTGAAAAAAAAAACAAAGCCAACCAACACATGTGACCATAAAAAATTTTTGGCTTGAGACCACCCTGGAGAATAGATATTAATTATCTTTCAGAGATATCATTTAATTTTTAATTCCTGGTTCCAGTGAAGGAAGCCATCTGGTATATGCACGAATCTTGACATGAGAAGGAAAAAAAAAAGGGATCATTATTATTGCTTATTCAAACTGTTGACGTCAGACATAGCGTCTCGAAAATGAGCATCTGGTGATAAGAGAATTTTAAGGCATGAGAAAAATAAAGAATTTAATTATCAGGTAAACACAACCACCCAGTTAAAAGTTGACTAGCGGAGAACCCAGGTGTCAGGTTTTTTGACAATGATTAATGAGTCAGTAGAGGTCTGAGCTAAGTGGATTTGGGATGTGATAAAGAATTAATTGGCAATCTGGGATTTGTAAATGTTTTGGCCGAAGGAAAAAAAAAAAAAGGATTTTGTAAACAAAATTCTGGAATAATTCTAAGAGGGCCAGTCTAGCCACACCCACACTGCCGAGAGATCATTGGCTAAGTGGTAGCATGGGTGATAGGCGGAGGTGAATGTATGAGAAAGACGGGGAAGTTGTTAACACCCACTGAGGGGATTGGTATGAGATACCAATGTGAAAGAGGAAGAGTCTAGGAGGATAACTCTCCTCCGACCATCCCTCACGGACGAGGGAGAAACCCCCGAAATGGAAAGTGATTAACCTTCCAAAACTGGGAAGTAATTAATTTTCCTGGCCTAAGAACAAAGAGAATTCTTATTGGGAATTGAGAATTGTCAAAAAACCCAAAACACATCAGGCCCCCCACACCGAGTTTGGGTCGGTGTCTAAATAAACGAACATCTTGAAGCAGCTAGTCAGGAGAGTTCGGAGTTGCAGTCAGTTCCAGACAGTTCAAGTTTGGAGTTAATTCGAGAACCAGCCTCGCAGAAGCTGACCGAAAGATTTCCACGTCCTCTTGACTTAGTCTTCCTACCAAAAGCAAGTTTTTATTGATGAACGACTTAAAATACCATAACTCGCTTAAGAAACGCAAAATATGTCACAAATCCATAGAAATGGGCTGGGAGAGAAACACACTCCTGTATTCAACAGATAGATAAAGATAATTGTTATTTCTCAACATAATTGAACCTCTTGAGTGTTTTATTACTTTTTTTTTTTACTTACGTTTGTGCGGTATCACCTTTACCCCGGATTCAGCTTGCACTATGGCCTGACACCTGATTGATTTTGTCTACCTAAGATCAAAGTCACAATGTGGGTAGGTTAGACTTGAGATCAAAGCAGTTACTTTGGTGACCAAGCGTTGGAGGTGAGCTGGAATGACAAAGCTGGTATTGAATCAGAAACGACCAGATCAACTGGGACACAGGCTGGTGGCAGTGACAATGAGTCAACCCCAAATGCTGGTGGAAGAAACCTTACAGCTTGCGCTGCAACTGGGAGTTGACCACGGCCAATGGCGCAGTGTCATATATTGATGTGGACGACCATATGGGTGTCACAACAAAATAATTGGGAAATTTAGTGGGTGTCACAAATGTAAAAAGTGAATATACACATCAATAAACTGCATTCAATATTTAATCCATTGTGCCAATTATAAATTATGACATTTGTTACATATTTAGAATAATTTGGTAATAAGTTTCTTATAGAAATTACCAGGCAATTTTCAGCCTTAACTGCCTGTTAACAAATCACTGGCTTTTAGACTGTTCAAATTTTGGTCATTCCATCATGATGAACTCTTATTTTAAACAGGTCTAATAGATTATTTTCGGCCAAGAAACTCACTAATGTCTCTCTCTAAATGTTTAGTATGTTCATGGACATCATAACAGGCATTATCTTGTTGGAACAGCAATATGTTTCAGATGATTATCATTTTTGAAGCATCAAATGTTTGGTAGTTTGAGAAATTTTTTTCAGAAATGAATCAAGTTCTTCTTCAGTATTTCCCAACATTTAGACTTTTGCTTTGTTATTTCAAAATAATGTATTTTATATTTTATTTTTACAAGTAAAACAATCCCAAATCAACATACTTAAACCAAAATATTTTTATTTATACATACTGTATATATGTCACATGTTTTCTCCAATAACATATCAATCTGAACAGTTTCCACTAGAAAACAATTCAATTTATGTCTTCTCAGACCCCCTTATTTTGTTGTTGAAATAAAAAGGTCAAAGTTACACGATTATGAGCCAAATATTACCATGATTCCACCAGTGAGGCATTTATTTTTTTAAAGGAATCATTAGACTGCAATATATAAAGTGCCAGGAATTGAGTTATGATACACTTGGGAATTTTTTCTCAAATACCTGCAATTGAGCAAATAGAACACACGTGAATCTTTATTGCAAAACAACAGCAAGCATTCTGTTTTTCAGGTTTTACACAAATCACAGTTGATTGCTCACTGCCTGAATTTCAAACACAGATGGTGCAATGTTAGAGTGTTACTATACCACAACATGATAAAAGGCTTAAAATTTGAACTATTTACATTGTTCAGACTGTTGTCCTAATCTTTATTCTCACATTCAAGTTTGGGTATGCCTTTATCCACTGTGCCATGTGTGGTTAACAGTAAGTTAGATCCAGTGACAGGGCCATTTTCTTTTCAAGTATGAGTTCAATACCCATGAAGGCAATGGTGAACTTTTAGTTTAAAAAAAAAGGAGGTTGATCGGCAACATTTTTTGGGGGAAATAGAACAGTCTAGCTATAAGTTTTTAAAGGTTCATTTGACATTCCAACCGTTTGAAGAAAGTAGGATATTACCAGCTATAAATTTTGTGGAAAATATTGACAGAGGAGGACAATTTTTTAATAATAAATAATGTACAAGTTTTTTTTTTTAAAAACAAAATTTATTGAAATGGAACTGTAAATTAAATCAGAATGGGTTTTAATGGTATAAAAATGGGTTTGTGTGTGAAGCTGTGTGTGAAATAGTAATTACTATCAAGAAAACCAAATAGTACAGTGAGGAAATAAATTTTTGAAAGATAACTAAACGGTTTTGCTTTTTTTGAAAAAAATATTTCAATCTTATTTGTTTTGGAAAAAACCTTATTGAAACTTTCAGAGTTCTGTTTTTGAATCCTGAGTGATATGTTATTCTATATCATCTGAAAAAAAAATGTTTTCCTCAAAAAGATAAAAAGACATTAAATCATCATTTGCATGATAATCTTGAGCAAAACAAATAAAAAACATCCAAGATTATTTTCAAAGTTTTATTTGAGTTGTCTCAAATAGATTACAAGTTGAACTTTCCAACCTTAAAATGCCTGAATAAAAAAAAAAAAATTTTTTTAAGGACATCCTGTTTAAAGAAAATTTCTTGTTAGGTCATATTATATCCATTTTATATTATATATTTATTGTACTGATGGGGATTTAAAAGTTTTTTGGAGATCTAAAAAAATTCCATTTAAATTATTTTGACCAATATGAACTTATTGCTCTGTATTTTGCCATTGTGAAAACCATGAAAAAATTTTTTACAGAAAAAAACAAATAAATGTATTCAATACTTGTTTACATGATATTTATTACTTCATACAAGAAGGACAATTATGGGCAATATTTTCAACATTATTTTTATGTGGATACTATATATATATATATATATATATAATATATATATTTACCAACAACACACATTTATATATATATATATATATATATAGAGATATACACATACAATGTATAGATATGATACTGAATAGATCTTCCTTCACACACACACTCATCAAATTTGGCTTCAATAGATTTAAAATTAAGCCTCATATAATAGAATTTGGGGTATTTAATTATGAATAATGTGAAAGGATATTTAATGAGATAAATTGATATATAAATTTCTATATATCATAACAATGAGAAGCAACGGAATATCAAATTTGCAAAAATAAAAATTAAGTTTCATCCAACTGCAAAAGATTAAGGATTCTAATAGTGGAATTAAAAAGTTTGAAATAAAATGATAAATAATAATTATTGTTTCTTCACTAAAGATATTGCTAAATTTTAAATTTGTAAAAAAAAAAAAAAATAAAAATTAATTAAATGTTAAGTCAGATGAAAGTAATTAAATAAAAAAATTGAAAATTTAGCATTTGAAAACAAGTTTTCAGTTTTTTCCTCCATGAACAATTATAAACTAACATTCATGTTTATATTTCTCTGTCATCCCCATAAATTAATAATTCATCATTACTTTAGTCCTGATAAGGTCAAATTTCTAAGGACAAAACATGTTCTTCCAGAATTTTTCCATTTGGTCATTATCTTAACAAATATATAATTAACTTGTTTAAATTTTTGTCACTAGAGTTGATAGATGTTATTTAGGAAAGCTAAATCCAAAGATCATCCATCCACCTTGGAGGGGGTATGTAAATGCAGTTTTGACAGTGAGGTGATTACATACACAAATATTATGGAAAATAATGTTGCTGCTAGGTGTTGCAGCAAAAACCTCAATGTTAACTTTTTATATTTAAAAACATTCTAATAAATATTGACACGTCAACATCTATAAATATAGGATGTTTGAAAAGTATATTTTTATAATAAATTTAATGAATGTAAAACTCATGTTTATGTGTAGAAAAACCCTTGAAATGGGAGATGAATGAATTTTAAAATGTGCTGAAAAAAAAAATTGGATCAGCTGTTGATTTGGGGTAAAATTAAAAAAGTAATTTTTTTATTTTTAGGTGCTTCAAAAATTTTGCATGCCAATAGTTTGACAAACTTATTTTTACATTGTTAAATATGAAATTAAATTTGTTATTCTTCATTTTCAGATTGACTGTTTGATGCATGTCTTGTTGAATTCAATGATATATATATATATATATAGTTTTCCAAATATGCTGAACAATTTCAACGTGTTAGTGAGACACTTTCTATTTTAAATTGTCAATCAGTTTCAATTGATATAACATGAAATTCTAAAATGGAAGGTGATAAAGTTTATTTTTTACCAAGTCAGAGCAGAAAAATCTTTTAGTATGAAAATAATTAGAAACCTTTAAATTGATTATGCTAAATTGGACTATATATATATTATATATATATATATATATTATATATATCCTTTTTGAAACAAACTCCTCATTCAATGATAAACTCAAAAAGATTGAAGACTAAATTAAATGGCATTTTAAAATAAAATGATCAGCTTTACAAATAAATGTCAATTTAAAAAATGACTTAAAAATGCCTTAAAAAGACTTTAAAAAACTAGTATATCATATTTAGAATGATTCAGAAAAATGGAAATTAGGTTTCTCTTCTTTTTTTTTTTTTCTTTTTTTTTCTTACTCTATTGCTTTAATAGGCTTTTCAATGACATTTTTGACTGAAAATTGAAATTTTCTCAGCACAACATTTTTAAATACATATTTATAAAACATTGTTTTTAATTTTAAATATATTTTTTTTAAATTATAAAACTTTTCTTTTTTTGTTGATGGAAATTAAGATATAATTTGTGTGCAAAAATATTTTTCCATTTTGGATTTAGGAAAAAAATTTAGTTTTTTATTTGTTTTTTTTTTTTTTTTTTTCCATGGTTTTCTCCAAATTTTAATGATGTTCTCACAAACTTGAATAAATATATTTAAAGTGTCCACAGCTATTTCAAAGAAAATGTAAATTTATTTAAAAGAAATACACCATTTCGTTTTTATTTCATTTTCCTATTCACTTAAGGAATCAAAATCACTTTTTATTTTCATTTTCAAAACACTCTTACACTTTCTTTATCAAAATACTTTGCTTTTGCAACTTTAAAACAGAAATGAGAATAATTTTATGTTGATGTTGATAATATTTTACATTTGTTAAGGTATTCTCTTAAGGTTTGGATTAGCTTCAAAGGAAATATTTTAATTGATTGCATAAAACAATTACTCTTATTGTATTCATTTCCATGCAGATGTATTAAAGAATAAAATATTGCTTGGTATTTTCCAGGAGTAATAATAAAATTCTTCTGTTTTAACTCTTTCAGGAAAAGACAGAAATGTACACATAAGTGTATTTGCAACATATTTCTGTTTTGTAAAATGCTTACAAAAATAATTGTTTAGTTTTTGCAAGACACATTAACAAGAGTAGGTATTTTGTTCAATTATGACAAATTTTCAATACATTAAATACAATAATTATGTCACTTGGTTAAAACTTGAAGAAAACCATTGTATTTTATTGAAGACAAGAAAGAATTTAACTGAATCTTTTTACCAAAATAAAATAAAGGAACTTCAAATTTTAAAATAAAGTTTAATTAGTGAATGAAAATAAATTTAGGTAAAACTTTTTTTACTGAAGTTTTTCCCAATTTTTTTTCTAACTTATTAATAACAAATGAAAAAGATGAGAAAAAACTTGAGTTAGTTACAAGAAAGTACAACTACTTGAAAGTATGCTTTTAAAATATTTGTTTTCTTTTCAAAATTTTGTACCTACCAAACAAAGTTTGTGTGCTTGTAATTCCTTACATCACTAGGAATTTCAACTTCATTTCCTATCATTTCAAATGCTTTTTCTTCTAATTGGCTTGTGTGCTTATCAAATATAACCTTAGGGGAAATAAATTTTCCTTCTAAACATACTAAAAATATATTGAAAATATATTTTTAAAAGATTTCAAGTTGTTTTCCTAATAATTATCTACACACACAAAATTATTGCTATAGATTTATGCATTTTATATATATCCAAAGTTTTTTTCATCACATTGCCATGACTGCATACATTTAACTTGAATTGCTGCATTGGTTGAAATATGACTGATACACTAATTCACCTTTCATGAATTCTGAGGGTTAATACAGGTAAAATTACAAAACAAAAATGACAAACCATAGCCATTTTTGTAATAAGGATATGATTTGAGATTTATAATACCAGATAGAAAATATATATTCTTTGTGTGTATAAACAAGCATCTATTTTTCTTCTATAAACCAACCGCCATTTTATTTTGTGCCATGAATGAATAAACAGAAAATCATTAGTTCATTTAAAAAGTATATATGACAAATTTTAGCAAAGGTGTCTACAAAAAAATTGTTTTTTTTCTTGATACCAATATTATTGTATGATCAGTAATTTTTATTGTTTCAAAAAGCTATTTTTAAAGTCTTAACAAAATGTAACAAGGTGACAACCATGAAGTTTTATTTGTGTACGAGTATTACAAATGGTGACTTTGTGGTGAAAGAGAAAGTTAAGAAAAAAAGTAGAGAAAAAAGGCACATGTGTTCTGTAAAATATGCTGAAGACAAAATAACCAAACTAGAAACAAGTCAGTCACAGCAGTGGCCATAAATGCATCTCAGATATTGTTCTGTTCATAAAAGCAGTTGGTGTTCTCAAATGTTTTTATTTTGTTACCTTATCCATCAGTTTGCATATAACTGTTGGCTTGTGCATTGGATTTTTGGCATTGGACCTGTAATTTCATCATTTCTTTCTATCATTGGATCTGCAAGTTTGGACTTGCAATTTGTTTATTTTGCTGCTATATCAATTTTTGAACAAGCTATTTCAGCACAATACTTATGGACCAATCAACTTGAAGTTGATACCAGAGTTTGATGGTTCATCCACTGGCCTATCTGTGGTTGAGTGGGTAGAGAAGGCAGAGATCATTTGCCAGCTATGCAAATTGAAAGAGCCAGCAACAGTCATTACTGTCAGCGGGCACCTATGCTGTGTACCAGCAGCTTAAAGAGGAACAAAAAAACGACTTTACCAAGATAAACAGGCTCTTTATATGGCCTTTGAAACAGACCCATGTGTCATATCAACAACTTGAGTGCCGACTGCTACCTGTTGAAATGGTTGATGTATACCTGGCTGATTTATGGAAACTTTCTGTACTGTTTAGGGGTATGAATGACCAGATGCTTGGATGCGCCTTCATAGCAGGATTGCTGGATGAGATCAGTCAGCTTTTGTGAGCAACATGCAGAATGGATGAATTATCAACTATTGGCCTGAGCAAAAGAGGAACTGGTGATTGCAGCTGCAAAGCCCACCCAAAATGAAGATGTTCTCCCAACTGTGGGCCCTTCTGTGAGAAGTGCTACAAATGTAATGGCCCAAGAAGAGGCAAGCAACTCAGGTATGTTGCTACTGCTGCCATAGGTTCCAGGTGCCAGGAAACAGGTCAAGGTTATGTTTCAGTGCCAGTCTCTCTTTCCTGCAAATTATGAAAGAGACGCTTCCCATAATCAACAAGAACTGATGGGGTGAAACATACAGCCCTTATGGATACAGGCTGTTCACATTCACAGACGAACATATCCAATTGCCGTCCATGGAAAAGATGACGTGCTGACTGCTGACAGCTGACAGAAAAGTCCTCAGAAGTCAAGGGGTCACAAGTATGGATGTCTACATAGACAAGTGGGGGCCCTATTAATATAGATGTTCTGGTCACGGATAGCAAATTGTTAGAATTTGACCTGCTCCTTGAGATGGATGTCATTGAGTAGTTGGATGGTGTTCACATTATAAAAATTGGTGAAGTCAGTTTTGTTAATCTCCATATTCGTACAGCCAAGTTCCCCTCCAAAATAAATAGTAAATAATTATTTTTCAAAGAAGTAAAACTTACTATTTAAATATATCTTAATTTAAGTTTATTTACTATATTTAGATGTTTTTAAATAAATAAAGTTTTACTTTTAAAAATTACATTAAAGAAACAAACATTTCTCCATAAATTAATTACTATTTTAAAAGAGTAGAAACAAGATACATTGAGAATTTAGTTTTGAAAATCAATTATGTTTAAATTTCAAGTTATATTTGTATTTGAAAAGAAAAAAAAACTTAAATAAGGAGAGACAGGCACGAGTTACGGTCAACATGTTGAACATGTTGTTTTATGAATTTAACTATATTTTATTTAAATTAATTTTCAAAAAATAAGGCTCACTATAGATTTTTGCTTTAATAAAACTTAATTTAAAATTATTTAGTATTGTATGTTAGTTACAAACTAAAAAAACAATGAAATTTATTTTTTAAAGATTGAATAAAAAAAATTATTTTCCATATGAAGGCTGAAAAATATTAATAAGTCAATAATACACACACACAGGGTGATACTGAGTCTGTGTGTGTATATATATATATATATATATATATATATATATATATATATATATATATTTTGTCGTAATTATTGTAGTTTTTTTAATTTTAGCCAAGCACACATACTGAAATATTTGAATAAATAAATATTAAACCTTTTGTCAAACAATTGTATTTAATATCCTTCTTTTAAATTTACTTTATTGTTTTAATATTCTTTTACACTTTTATTTAAAAAAAATAAATTCAAGAGAACAGAAATTTTAAAAATACATAATTATCAGCAGAACTAAAAAGTAAAAACAAACAGTAATAATAATTGGGAATAAGAATTATTACTGTTTTTTTACTTTTTAATTCAGAGAATTTTGAATGCATTCTAATGCATTTTGATTTTAAAATATCTTCATAACTACAAATCATATGAAAACTTTTTTACAAAAAGCTGGCTTGGGTGATAATGAGTCTGTATATATATTTATTTGTCATTAATTATTGTAGTTTTTTAAATTTATCTGGAGACACACACACACACACACACACACAACTGCCCTTTATGTGTAGATAAGCTCCATGAGTGTATTTCAACTAATATTGAAAATTGGATGTAACAATGTTCCAATATGGAGGTAAAGGTAATAAAAAAGATTTTTAAAAAGAATGGCTTGATGTTTTTAAAATTTGAAAGAAAAATTTTATTTTACATTTATACAAATGTTGCACATATTTTAAAAAATAAACAAGGAAAGATTGCACAAATGCTTCTGTGCTGAAAAATCTCTGACCATTACATTTCAATAAAAGTTTTTATTTCTTTATTTTTGTGACAGTTCATTCTGATAGAAGGAAAGTTTGCAAATACACTGCTCAACAAAAGCCACATTGATACTAGAAAAGTTAACAGAAAAGACTTTGTTCTTCCTTTTGATTCAGTAAAAAACAATTTTAAACTTTCACAAAAAAAATTTTAATTCTTTAAAACTAATTAAATTTCTTTTAACAAAATTTTATATTTAAAAGAACCTAGTGAGAATGTCTTTTATTTTGATTCTTTTAAATAAAATGGTAAAGGAAGAATGAGTCTTGGTAAAAGTTCTGTCAAAAGTTTTCTCTTTCGAAACAAATATTGAAAGGTGTTTGTTAGCAAGCAGCTGATCTCTTAGCTTACAGAAATAAATTTTGAAAAGGCCACAGAATTTACCAATTTTCTTTAACATTTTTCTTATTTTATGTAACATATGAAATTGATCAAAATCTCTCTTCAGATTTTTGACATCTTTGGATAAATGGAAAAAGCTGAATTTCCTTTCTCTTAGATGCTTTCCATGAAGGTTGTTGAAAACATGCTAATTTTTGAATTTTCATGAAATCAATATAGAAATGTGAAAGGTTCTCTCTTCAGTCTTGAATTTTTTTTTGCTTTTTATCAACAAAAACAGGAACATTTTCAGATCTGTGTAGATGATACCACAAGTTATGAAATACACTTGAAAATTATTTTAAACTTTTCAAATTTAGAATACCTCATGCAAGCTACTATCATTTCATTGTCATCAATTAAAGCCTGTTTTTTCTCCAGTCATGTACAGATGCACTTTCAATGAGGCTTCATAAGTACCTGACTCTTTCTGCCATGCTTTAAGTTTTGCAAGAATACGATTAGATAAAAAATGGAGTATTGTTACTATATTCAGCCTTGATAGTGTTAAAAAAAAAATTGGGGACATCATGCTTATGTCCATGAAGTTGAATCCCCTCGTTTCCTCCATATTCCAATTGTGAAGGGAAGCTTAATTCAGACAGTTTTTTTTCCAAAGAACTGCTGTTTTGTGGAATAGACACCCAGATGCACGCTTCCTTGAACACCACAGTTTTAATCACTTCATCAAAGATCAGTCATTATCAATCCTCCTTATCCTAAAATGTGACACTGTAGGAATGCTTTTGAAGAGAGAAAAAAACGCTTAAATCAAAAGTGAACACAAAAGCAAAGAGTGTCATAGATAGATTGAAGGACATACCGAAAACAAAAAAATATATATACATTTATTTTTTATTTTTTTTCTCTGTTCTGAATTTAATTTTTCGCTAGAAAATAGGGATAAAAAAATCCACTTTTTATTTTTTTGTGACAAAGGGACGATATGGGGGAGTGTGATAACATCTACAGGCGACCAAGACTATTTATGTCTGGTAGAAATAAAAACAACTCAATTTAATTTAGTTTTAATTTTTTATAAGTGGTGAAGAATAGGGTAAAGAAATGATTCTATGTCACTTGATGATAAGATTGGAAGGTGTGCATGTCGGTAGAGAAATGAAATTTCTTTAGATACAAAACACGAATTACGAAGAATTCGGCCAATTGATGAGATGACAGTTTGAACAAGCAACCTCTGAAGACAAGGGAGGAATTATATTTTTTCCAAGGAAAAAACTGGAAAATATCAAAACCTTATGACAAAAATTATTGATTTCTTTTTAGATAGATAATTTTAATTAAATAAGTGTGTGCTTTATGTCAGATTTTCGAAGGACCCCAATTAAAATGAGAGAGAGTGGGAGAAAATAGATTATTAGATTTTGATTTATGTTGGTATAAGGTATAATAAAAGAAGAGGAATTTAATGGGAAAATTTTGATTCTTTTTATATGGAGATATCAAGGGAAACCTAAATTTGGACATTATGTTTATATTCCCAGGACAAAATAACAGAATTTCTGATTGGATATTTGGAAAATCCAGGAACAGAAAATGAAAATCAGACACCACCCTTTTTTAGACAAGGGTCCCTAAAAGCATACAAATTGGAAAAATTACAATTTAAATTGAGGCAGAGATTTTGATTCTTTTTTACAGAAGGAGAAAATGAGATTGGCGATTTTATGTGACTTGTTATACGGAAAACTCTTGACTTATGCCTTGTTTCAGACTTTTATTAGGTAAATTGGGCAAGGAGGTGAAATTTCAAAATGGAAGATTTGAATTCTCTATATATTTTTTTATTTAAAAAAGAAAATCTACTGTTAATTCTCAGCATTCCATAATTTGCTGCCTGAAAAGCCTGATAAATTAGTTTCAAACCTCAGCTTTTAAATTGAAATATCAAAAAAACAAAGTGTCATTAAATTAGACTTTTTTTAAATGGTGTTCACCTGCATGCTTGTTGATTCTTCTTAAAAAAAAAGTGTTCCTTATAAACCTGTTCTTTTAAACGTTGTTGATCTTTTTGATTTTTTTTTTTCCTTTTTTTTTTTGTCTTATAACATCGTATTACCTAAACAACACCAGTGATATATCTGGTTGGTGATCCTTGCCTAACATAAATGACCAAAAAACAAACACAGCGATAACGGGGGAAACTTGGATCAAAGGACCAACTCACAATTAACAAGATCCAATTCAGCAAATCATACCGGTGACCAAAGATGGGACGGTGTTGTCATGTATTACTAAGGGATGAATACGTCCTAAGCATTATACATATGTGACTCACTGCGTGTATAAACAGGTGAGAACAGAACATAGAACAAGGAAAGACAGCAAAAGCCGTGTTTAGCGGTCGTCTGAGACAATGCAGTATTAATCTGCAGCTGGACTTACTCCAAGAGAGTGAATAATTTAACTAAGTAATAGATACATTATAACACCTCATAATCTTAATTTTCTAAAGTGAGAAAAGGAACAGAAAATATCACACATTTCATTCAGTAGCCAAACCTATTTGAATTTGTATTAGGTGAACTTTATTTAATAAAAAGATATGTTGCTTCTCCTTTGTAAAGAAATAAGACACTCAAACTCCTATCGTTCTTCCCAGTATGCAAATGTAGATTTTTTAATAAAATAAATTTCTTAATGAAACTTTTTAGAGAAGATAAATATTTACATGCAAAATATGTGCAATTTTTAAATAAAACTGAATTCCATTATGTGACACTGCATTTATATTTCAACTGTGGTAATTTGGCGATTTTAATATTTTCCCACTGGCGTTTTGGAAATGACTCAGAATTGCCACCAGATTGTGATTCTTTCAATCGGTGGTCATTTGAACCACAGATGAATTTACTTTAGATTTTAATGTCTGGTTACAGAAAATGAAAATCTCAAGTCTAACCTTTTCGTTTGATTTTGATCTTAGGTAGAAATAGAAAATGAAATATATTATAGCCATGGTACTTTTGAATAGAAATAAGAAGTTGATATTAAATTTGCTAAGATTTTTTTTTTTTTAATGTAAAAACCAAAACCCGATGAATTTAAATTTGCCTTTGTTTCTTTTCAAAAATAAATCTCTTTGTTGTCAGGCCAGGAAAATTTAAATTTAATTATTTTGATATCAAATATAAATCCTTTGGAATTTGCTTTAATTTTCATTCTTTCTCATCCATTAAACCTCCACCTGAATGTATTTACGATCTTGATTATTGGCATATGAAAATGGGCTGTGTGGCTAATTGCCTTTAATTCTGTTTAAATAGATATATAACCCAGCAAATTTTTGTTTACATTTTTCTCCTTTTATATAGATATAAAAATTTTGAATTTATTTCAGATTTGCCTTTTAAAAAATATGAATCTTTTGGTCACTCAGATTACTAGCGAGCACTTTTGAAAATTCCATCAATATGTCAAAGTTTGCCATCTGTATAAGAAATGAAGTTAGCTTTTACTGGAACTTTTGGTTTTCATGAGAAAATTAAATTCTTATCTCAACAAATGAATTTTCCGTTTTAGATTTTCTCATGCCCAAAATTTAAAATCACCATGAAAATGACTCAGTATTTGGTGTCTGAAAGCGACACTTTTCAAAAAGTAAATAATAAAAATCCTCTCCAATTTATTTGGATAAATTTTTCTCTCATGCCAAAATGAAAACAAATGATATGGCTTTTGATTTTGCGGCATTCAAAAAAAAATGATATCTTGAAAAGATAATTATTTTATTGATTTTGTTTATTTTATATAGAAATATGAAAATGGCGTGAATTTTTTTATGACAGCCATGTGTAAAATCGGATATGAAATGCTTTGCTTTTCTTTTCTGAATTGTTAAATTTTAAGGAAAAGGCATTTAACAACAATATTAATCAATTTAAAACAAAATGAAAAACATATGACTTTTTTTCTGGGTTTACTGTCTTTTTGAAAAGTAACTTTTTAAGTAAATAAAATAAAATCTTTTTAACATCTTGATTTTGTATATTTTCGGGATAACTAAAAAAAAGTCCCTCAATTTATTTTTTGATTTTTAATTTCTATGGTTAATTAGTTAGCCATTTACCATAGCTAAATAAAAGAACAATTAGCAACTTTTCTGATTTTTTCTCAGATCCAAAAATTGAACAGAGCTTGCATAAGGATGATCAACTGGTGAAGTGAGATGTTCAAACAGACACACAAAAAAAACGGGGGCTTGATTTTTTGAATTTGTTATAACTAGTGCAAAGATCTTTTAAAGGTTACAAACTTTACTATTTTTTATCTTTCAATATGATACATTTAGTAAAAATTGGAATTGTAAAAAATGGTGTAAAGTGTTTGGAAAATAACATATTTAAAACTGCACTCCAGTACTTTAGTCATGAAAAGTGCTTGAAAACTAGAATTTTTCGTAATTAAACTACACTTGCAATTATATAAATAGTTAAAACTGGTGTTTTTAAACTCTCAAAAACAAGCGAAAAGTGGTTGAAAGTTATTTTTCACTTAGAAAGTATTGTTTTCAGCAGCTCAAATGCAGTTATAGTTCATAAAATTGGTGTTTGCAAACACTCAAGTGCTTGAAAACTAGATTTTTCACTCGTATAGTTTTATGCATGTTTGCATGGTGTGACACTATTTAGCTATGGTAATTGGCCAACTAATTAACCATAGAAATTAAAAAACAGGAAAGACTTAAGGCGAAAAAGAGCTATCACGAAAGATAGACTGATCAAGGTTAAAAGAAAGATTTTAATCAATTTACGAAAAATATACTTTTCACAAAAGACAGTAAACCCATGGAAAAAGCCATGTGTGAGGTCTTGTCAGGTTGATTTATGTCTCGCCGAGGGAGATAGAAAGAAAGAAAATATGAAGATTTCGGCCAAACCACAAGCTGGTCATAAAAATTTCAGCTTGAGATGATCGCAGATACAGGATAGGGAGAATCAATGTTAATTATCTTTCAAAGATATCGAGAGGGTTAATGTGGTTTTTTTTTTCTCAATATAGTGTGGGGTTTGAATACAGGCAAAAAGAAGACAATGAATGGCAAATGTAAAAGTTTTTGCATTATCTCGACATAGGTGAGGGGTTTGTTATTATTTACCTTATCAACGTGTCGATTCAGACGCTGAGACGTTGAATAGCGATATGGTGTATGTAAACTTTTGGCATGAGACAGAAAATAGAGTGGAGAATTGAGATTTGATGAGATAAAAGAATTTAATTTCTTAACAAGCCAAGGATTTCATTATAAAGCTAACTTAACGAAAGAACCAGATGGCAAACTTTGACAGTTATTGATGGGTCGAAGAGAGTGCTGGCTGAGTGAATTCTGGGTGGCAAACAGATATGATAGAAATTTAATTTTCAATATGGAATTCGTAAAAATTTTGGCCGATGGGAATAACGAGAATTTTGTAAACAAAAATTCTGGATTATAATTTTAAGGAGGCCAACTTAGCCACACCCACACGGCCGAGATATCATTGGTCGGGTGGTAGCATGGGTGATAGGTGGAGGTGAATGGATTAGAAGGACGGAGAAGGGATTGGTATGAGATATCAATGTTAGAGAGAAAGAGTCTAGGAAGATAACTCTCCTCCGACCTTCCCTCATGGACGACGGAGAACATCCCGAAATGGAAAGTGGTTAATTTTCCAAAAATAGGAAGTAATCAATTTTCCTGTCCTGACAACAAAGAGATTTCTTGTTAGAAATCAAGATTTACCGAGAACTCCAGGCCGCGTCTGGCCCCACATTGGGTTTTGGTCGGTATCCATATAAACAAACGCCCTGTGGTCGTTCGGCAGTTTTAGTTGGAGTTAGAGTCAGAGCTAACCAGAGTGTTGCCTCGCAGAAGCTGACCAAGAGATTCCACGACCTCCGACTTCGCCTATCCTACCAATAGCAAGTTATACTGATGATCGAAGCCAAGCCAACACCTAAGAACTAAATTAGTTGACTTACGATACCAACTTGCTTGAAACATAGAAGTGTCACATTTCGTAGATCACAACGTGGGTGGGTTAGAATGGAGATCGAAGCAGTTACTCCAGTAACCAGACGTTGCAAGTGTCCCATATTGGTATCCTGACCAGGGGATTTCGCCGAGTAGCGACGACCATCGATCGACCGGGACACAGGCTGGTGGCGGCGACAAAGAGTCAACCTCAAAACGCCGGTAGAAGATACATTACAGTTTCGCGTCGCGACTGGGAGTTGACCACGGGCCAACGGCTGGGTGTCACAATCGCACACGGTTATAGTTAGTAAAAATTGCTGTGTGCACAATCTTAAAAACAAGTGAAATAAACTTGTAAACTAACTTTCTCCCGTTCTGAAACTATACTTTTCTGCATATTTGGGTAGCCCACATGAAGTTATTGTAAATTAAAAATTACCGTTTGAAAACTCTCAAAAACAAGTGAAATTTTTTTGCTCAGGAAGTATTATAAACGGTAATTGTAAGCAGACCCGAAGACTGTTCATTGTAACCAGATCGCATCTGGCCACCAAAATCGAACGTAAACTGACTACACCAAATACTCTCTGGCTGCCTTTTTCCCACTGAGAGCATTGGTAGCTTGTTTCTCATGTGATCCTAAAAGCTGGCCCTCAATGTCAAAGCTCGGCGGAAGATCTCTTCAACACAAGTCTAACAATAATTTATTGACGAGGAATACGTTGTTTGCATATCTAGATAGCAAAATGGTGATTTAGTATTTTTCAGATGTTGGTTTGTTTTTGTTCATCCCTTTACAGAATGTGTGTGTACTCTTGTCTTTGAGCGGCGGAGATTTTCTTAGCACTTCGTCCTGACGTATTTACAGTGACTCTTGAAGCGAAATGCTTCACTGGTTTATATAAGTGGCACTCCTGTGTACTTTGTTTCACATTTTGACATTGATGCATGTCAAAATTTCCACATTCATCTGGATTATCGAAATAAGTCCAAAGAACCCCAGCAAAAAAAAAAAAAAAAAAACATTTCTCAACCTTTTACTGAGAAATACCTCATGGCTTAGCAACGTAGTATTAAGAATTTATTCCTCTCCAATCAGATTTTCATACCACTAAAACTTGAGCAAGGACCAGCACCCTGTTACAATATAATATTGGTGTGTAGCTCAAACACACTTATCTTATGTAAAATGAGTATTTGCAAACACTAATTTTTACTTAAAATAACTGCAAGTAAATTATAAAAAGGAAAGTAATTTCTAATGAAGAAATGGATTTTATATTTATTGATCCGACCGATTTTTATCACTGTAAACATTATTTTGTCTCTGGTTCCTTCATCAACTTCATTATTTTTTTTTTAATCGGGATCACCCCATGCAAGGCAGTAAAGCCACTAAGACAGAAGCGGTTACAAGGTGTAGAAGAATTAATAACAGAAACATTAATAATGAGAGAGAAGAGAAAAGAGTAATCAGGAAGATTAACACTGCGTTTAAATTTTTGCAGGTCAAAGTTGGCTGGAAAGCATGGAGCCGGAAAGGAGTTTCACAAGCGAGAAGTGCAAGAAATAAAATTGATAGCATAGAACTTACGGTTAAATCTAGCCAGCTCAACTGTAAATTGATGAGATCTCGAAACCAGTCTATTACTGCGCTTAAATTCAAAACGTCTAGGTACCATAGCGAACAGTTCATCCGAGCAATTACCATAAAAGTATTTAGAGAAAAGACACAGAGAGGCAACCCTACGTCGGTGGGAAAGTGACTGAAGTCGAGATGCCTTTTCAGAAACAATAATATTGCCGATTCTTCAGATTTTATCAAGGAACTTAAGGTAAATAACAGGGGCACTAGACCATATGTGGTAGGTATGTAAGATATATTTTGGAGAGAAAAAATATTTTGCGCGACACAGTGAACCAACTTTCTTAGCAGTTGACCAAGCAATCGATTCAATATCGTCTTTCCACTTCATGTCAGCTGAGAATGTTAGCCAAAGGCGCAACATATAACGTTCCTGGAGTTTAGCTTCAGCTTCGTACTGATAGAGGATCTCTCAGATGATTAATGGAGAGAAGTTTAGTTTTGGAGGCGTTAAAATTAATAAGCTATCGAACTTAAGGTCATTTTGAACATCGGCTGCCATTTTGACCTTGTCAGACTGATCAGCCTTACTATCGAGTCAGTAGTAAATAGTTTTGTGTCATCAGCGTATATACCAAGTTGAGAGCTGGTGTCATCAGGAAGGCTATTAATGATAATTAAAACAAAGTAGGACGAAGGATGGAACCTTGTGGAACACCCGCGTTAGTACGAAAGGATTTAGACGAGTGGCCGTTCAGGATAATTTCATTTCACGATTTGATAGGAAGGCCTGAATCAGTTCAAAAATTTTCAACAAACTCTACGCCAAACCCTGTCAAAAGCTTTCGAGATGTCCAAAGCTACAACCCGAGCCTCACCGTTTTTATCTAGAGCATGACAGACTCTTTTCCGCAATTATCATCAGTTCAATTATATCAGCAGTTCACCTGGAGAAACGAAAACCATATTTTATGTTTAATTGAATTTTAATTCTGTTTCTTTTCCCATTTACCTCCCAAACTCTACGAGTTTCGAGATTTATTTCTAATTTAATCACCTTAAATCACCATTTTGCATTTTTATTCTACTAAACGGCGAACTAGGTCTAGCGCCATGTTATTTCCTTTCCCCACTCACAAGTGCAATCCACATACTAGTAAGCATTTCACTCCGTTCAATTGGGTGAGACGTTTACACCCTCATCATACCGAATTCTACAACAGAAAATAAGGTGTTGTGTATGCTAGCCACGCGTGTCCTTTTTACTAAACGTTCATATTATTAGGGTAACTGATCTCCTCCCAACTTCTTTTTCCCTACGTTGTATATAAAAAAATCACATCAAGAATCTTTAGTCTTGTTTTCTTTACTGCAAGAAGGCTATACGATGTGAGATGCATTGATTAGGGCCTCCGGTAGTTTTGTCGGAGTTAGCTCCTCCTTTAGTTCCTTAATCCTTCAACAGAGGTCTCTCTCCCTTGGCTATAAATACTGGGTGACCCTTAGCCTCTTCCTCTTTTCCTCAGGCTTCGGCCTTATACCAACTCGCAGATGTGAACGTTCATAGATACAGCGTTTCCCAAATGCTGGCAACACGCTAAGAACAATACACGTACGTACGAACACTCACCACAACACACACACATAATATTCACCACACGCACTCTGTCCATGTAACTATCCATGTACTTGTAACTTGTAATTTGTTATTAATACATATATTTGTTTACATATATTTATCGGTCTTGTGATAGAAGAAACCCTAGAAGGGCTTATATGCATATCACTCAACAGAGACTCGGTTCTAAGTGGGAAGTCAGTCAAGGATACTTCAGATAAGTCAAGAGTAGAGTTTAAGGAGAACTTACGCTTTATCAGCAGATGTCAACACCTCAAATTGAGTGAAAAGAAGAGGAATCGAAAACTTACTCTTATTTAACATATTATTACAGAGCCGCCAGTGATCACGAGAGCCAAAGCCGTTACATTCAATACGACGCCTCATTCTCTCAGCAAACAGGGACTTAGCTCCTTCGAGGGCACGTTTACATTTATTACATGCAGCCACAAATAGGCACCTGCTGTGATGTGAACTGTCACGCTGGTAATGGCGGAAATAGTGGTTCCTGTGGCCTACAGCGGCAGAACCTAATGGTGCGATCATGGAGAAGAGTGAGGTTTCACTTGGTATTACCAAGAAGAAATGAAAGCATCTATGCCGGCAGTGGTCCAAGAGACAACCTCATTGGCGCAATTCTCAAGGTTAAAAATGTCAGACCAAGTGGCGTCTCGAAGAAAATCACGGTGAGAATCCCAATGAGCATGCTGGTAACCGAAAGGGGGACTTATGAATAATGGCGCGATTTTTACCCCGAACGGTAAACGTTCGAATTTATATAATCCGCGATGCGCATTTATACACAATATCTTCGAACTCATTTCTTCAACCGTAATTTGCAAATAAGCGCCGCTAAGGCCAATTTTCGAAAAAAACTTCCTACCTTTTAGCTTCGCAAAAATGTCTTCTGGTCCAGGAAGATGATAATGATAGTCCTTCAGAACAGCATTTAATCCTGTCGAAAAATCAGCGCAAACGCGTATGGCTTTCGACTTTTTTTTTACATAGACCGCTGGTGCGGCCCATTCTACCTTTGATAGAACACCAGTTTTTACTAATCTGTCAAGTTTGTCGTTAATTTGTTCCAACGACGCAAAAGGCACATTTCGCTTCTTTTTGAACACTGGCTGGCCGTTGTCCTGTAGTTCAATTTTTGCCATCATCTTGTTACACCTGCCTGGTTAGGCAGGTGTAACAAGATGATGGCAAAAATTGAACACCAGAAAAAATTTCTGGATTGGCTTGCTTCAGTTTTTAAGCTTCGGCATTCCAATTTTCAATTTTTTGGCAGTATGAATTTACAGGTAAGTCCCAAAGCTGGAATTGTGTCATCCAATCAGTGCTTAATTTTCTGATATTAGCACCGTCTAGATCGTCCTACCTTGTATTTTTAATGCAGCTATTGGTTTTAGATCGGCAATGCGAGCTTTTGTGTCCGACTCGGTTACATACGTAACATTTTTGTTCCGGAACATACAATCTTTGTATTAGTGTAGGGCTCCACATCCGTAGCATGGGTTAGGGGGCAACTTATTTTGCTTTTTCTTTGTTTAATCAGTTTAATTTGTTTGTTTCTGTTTGTAGCATACTTTTTTTGACGTGAACAATACCAGATTCTTCAATATTTTTAGAATCCTGCTTTAAACTGACGTACATCTGACATTCTTCAGCGATCTGCTGTAGAGTTATATTCGGCTCATTCTCCAATTTGTTTAGTATTCTTCATCTAATTTCTGCATCTTTTGCTGAAACTAGTCCTTGCACGAATATTAAGCTTTTGAAGTTATTCGCACTTAGCTCCACCAGTCTAAAATCATTGCAGTGCTTGTTTACTATTGACGCAAAAGTGGTGTAATCTTCCTATTCGTTCTTAGTTAGATTAAGACATTTCCATCTCTTATGAATAAGAGACGTCTATGGGTTGAAAAGCTCCATGAGTAATTCCACTGCTTTGACTTTGCTAGTCTTACGGGGCAGAATGTAGTTTACAAATTTTGTGTGCTCAGTTGTGCCAAGTTTCCTCAGAAGACGTACTTTTTTCGAGTCACTCCAATTCGCACAATCTGAAGTATACAAACCCTCATATCTCCTAAAGTATGACGTGAAGGTTATGTCTTCCTCGGGATTGTATGAAAAATTCTCTATCGCGCTCCAAATGGTGTTTTGCGAAAAAGAAAATTCGTTTTCGATGCGATTACTACAGTTTGACGTAGTATTCCCATCGAAAACAAATTTTCTTACTAAAACTTTTCTTAGTAAAACTTACTTTTCAAATTCGAGCTGTATCTCTTGATTTTCCTTCTGGGTTTGCAGAAATAAATTTTCCATTTTTTCCTGTTGTGAGAGCAGTTGTTTTTGCCACTTCTCTTCCATTCTTTCTTGGAGTTGTAATTGCTGTGCATTCTG